CTTACACACTGCATGAGACTACACTAGCTCCTCTACTTACACACTGCATGGGGCTGCACTAGGTCCTCTACTTACACACTGCATGGGGCTGCACACGCTCCTCTACTTACACACTGCATGGGGCTGCACTAGCTCCTCTACTTACACACTGCATGAGACTACACTAGCTCCTCTATTTACACACTGCATGGGGCTGTACTAGCTCCTCTACATACATACTGCAGTTGTTTAGCTTGGGGTTTTTGTGGGACTCCTAAAAATGGGAGCAGGAGCTGTCTCTGACTCTTTTGCCTGCTCTTACAACCCTTTTCCTCTTACTGGGTTGTGCCATCCGGCCTTGATATGAGGATTTATGCCAAATCTCATTGCAACTCGTTATGCCATGTTTGGTTAATATTTCTGGGAAGGCTGCTCTTTTTCTGAAGGGAGGAATGGACTGGAGAAGAGAAGAGGTGGGGGTGGTGTACTAGGAGGAATGGAAGGAAGGCAAACTGTGGCCAGAATGTAATGTATGAAAGAATGAAAAACATTCTAAGAAAGAAAAAAAAGAGATGAAAAGGTCGCTAATGCTCATTGATTAGCAAGATTAATATTTCAAAAATGGCTATATCATTAAAGGTGACCTACAGATTCAAGAAAATCTCCATTAACATGTCAATGACATTTTTCCCAGAAATTGAAAGCATACTGAAGGCCATATAGAGCACAAATGATCCCAGACAGCCAACAATCCTGAGCAAAAACAACACTACGTGAAGAAGTACATGTAGCAGAAGCCCCGATTAAAGTCTACTGCAAAACTATTGTAGCAAAAATAGCAATATCACTGCCTCAAAAACAAACATGCAGATCAGTGGACTAGAGCAGAGGACTTAGTCTCTTTTCCTATCGCCCTGATTAAATATTCTCAGGAAAGAAACTTAAGGAAAAAGAGGTTTATTTTAGCTCCCAGTTCAAGGGATCATGGTAGGTCAATTGGGGTAGCGAGATCTCCACATAGTCAGTCACTGTCTGAAGGACAGCCTTGAATGCTACTCTAGGGCTAAGCTTGCTGTCTCTATTTTATACAAGGTTCTCCTCCCAGGAAATGATCCTTCTCACAATTAAGGTGGTTCTTCTCTAAAAGGCATGTCCAGAGACCCACCTCTAGAATCTGTCAACACGAAAAAGTTCCCATTAGTAAAAGCACACTTACAGCTACTTGACATTTGACAAAATTGCCTAACTATACACTGGAAAATGTATAGTAAATGATTCTGGGAGAATTGGATATCCTTATATGGAAGTATGAAGCTGCATGCCTATCCCTCGCCCCGCATGAAAGTCAACCCTGTGGTAACATATAGTATTTATGATTTATTAAAGTTTTCCTGAGGATTCAGAAAGCAAAGCCAGCCTCAAGCTATAGAGATCAAGCAGTAGTGATACACACCTTTAATCCCAGCGGCCACAGAGCTAGGCAGTGGTGGTACACACTTTTAATCCCAGGACTCAGGATTAAGAGGTAGATGATCTCTGTTAGTTCAAGGCCACACTGACAACACAAAGTTGATCCAGTCCTAAAACAAACAGTTCACACAAAGGTGATCACATGCCTTTAATCCTAGCACTAGGGAGGTGGGGTTAGAAGGATATGGCTGGGCAGAGAAAAGAATATAAGGAGGAAGAGATGGGAATTCAGAGCCTTTGTTTCTGAGGATTCATGGAGACAGGATTGTCATTTCAGCTGGGTAGAGGCAAGATCTACTGTGTTGGATGACTTGCTTCTCTGATTGTCAATGGCCTTAATAAATCATAAGTAATAGATCATCACACAACCTCAAAAGACCCAAAGGTCTGAAACTCTGAAACAGTTAGAAAAAAACCAAGGGAACACTCTATGACACAGATATCACATTTCTGAAAAAGACATCAACTGCTCAGAAATTTATCGGGAAAATAAGATTTTATTCAATTAAAAAGCATACAGCAAAGGAAAAAGCTTGCTGAAAAAGCCTACAGAATAAGAGGAAAATCTTTGCTAGCTATACATCTGACAGAAAGTTAATACCTAGAAAAAATATATATATAACTCAAAAATATAAAAAACACAATAGATAAGTGGTTAATGAATAGTTCATTTTCAAAAGAGAAATTGCAACATGCTCATGCAAGTTAAAATCACTTTGAGATACATCTCAAAGTGGGGTTTAGTGGTAAATGTCTTTAATCCCTAGTACACAGGAGACAGAGATAGGTTGCTCTCTGTGAGTTCAAGGCCAGCCTGGTCTACAACATGCATTTCTGGACAGCTAGGACTGCTTAAAGAGACTCTTTCTAAAATAAAAGCAAATGAACAAAAAACAGTAGCTGGGGATGATGTGGGAAAAAGGAGACCCCTACATGGGGCTAGCCACTCTGACAATTAGCATGGCATTCCTCAAAAATTTAGAAATAGGGTATGAATCAACTATACAACTTCTAGATATATACTCAGAGGACTCTAAGTAAACATACCACAGAGATGCCTGCACGTACACCCTTATTGCAGCACTAATCACAACAGCCAAGTCATAGAACCTGCCATGATGTCTCTCAGGGAATAAATAAAATATTGTGTGTATGTACAATGGAGTTTTATTCAGCAATAAGAATTAAATTATCTTATTTGCTAGAAAGTGAATAATCATACTGGAGGTTATCACATTAAGCAAAATAAGCCAGATGCAGAAAAACAAATACTCTGTTTTCTCTTATTTGTAGGTCCTAGAATTTTTCATAGATGCACAAAACCACATACTGATAGGAAAACAGAAGGGAGACGAGGCTCAGGGAGACCACTGGGAGGGGTAAATGAGAAGGAGAACTCAGGGGAAGGAACAGGAAGGAGATGAATATGGTGGAAATACATGATATATTTGAAAGAGACTTCCTTTATGAACACATGAACAATGAAAACATGCCAGCTTAAAAAAGAAGAGGAGGAGGAAGAAATGGAGGAGGAGGAATAAAGGTGAGGTTGTAATGATTTCGCTAAACCAAAGATAAATGAAAAATGGATGTTTATTAGGGAACAATTACACAGAAAAATACAAAGAACTGTGGCTAATCCATCAGAAAGACCAAGGGAAGGAAAGCCATGCCTCAAGCTTCCTTCCTTTTCCTTCTGTCTGCCTGAAGGCACACCCGAAGGGGTGTGGCCCCCATTACAGGCTCACAGAGCAGCCGCCTACAGAGGAGGGAACTGAAAAATGGCTCAACAGGTAAAGGACCTTGCTGTACAAGTCTGGAAACCTGAATTTGATCTCCAGAACCCACCTAAAGGTGGAAGGACGGAGAGAATCAACTCTACAAAGTTGTCTTCTGATGTTCACAGACAAACGGTGGCATGTACTCCCACACTTATGCACACACATGTACACATACAGACACCACGCAATGGTAATATCTTTTTCCCATGTGTGTGTGTGTGTGTGTGTGTGTGTGTGTTATGCATACATGCTTGCATGTATATGGGAACACGTGTGTGGAGGATGTCAGCAATCTTCTTCAACTACTCCAATACTTTATTCTCTTAGGTAAGGTCTGTCAATCACATCAGAGCTGCTAGAAATGCCTGGTCTCACTAACCACTTCCTCAGGATCTTTGGTCTCTGCCCTCCCCTCCAAGGCTGGAATGTCAGGCAGGCCATACTCTAGCAGCAATGTGGGTTTCAGGGATCTGAATTCCATCCAGTAATCATACTTGTATGGTTTGTGGAGGCCCATAAAAATGGTTTTGATTCATCTTTTTTTTTTTTTTTTTTTTTTTTTTTGGTTTTTCGAGACAGGGTTTCTCTGTGGTTTTGGAGGCTGTCCTGTAACTAGCTCTTGTAGACCAGGCTGGCCTCGAACTCACAGAGATCCACCTGCCTCTGCCTCCCAAGTGCGTTTTGCTTCATCTTGACTTGAGGTCAGAGAGTTCAAAACTATCCTCACTCTTCCAAGGTTAAAGTCATAAGACCTAAAGGTCTAAGGCATCGCTACTGTAGGATGTTTGGTCTTAGGCATAGATGTCTTATATAAATAACAAGAGACTTGGTCTGAGGTGTGGTTACTCTTAACCCTTAAGGCCAGATAATGAGATATTTAGTCTAAGGCATGCTTACCAAATGTTTGGAGAATTAAGAATTAAGTCTTTTGCCATTTTCCCCTTTTAGGTTGGGGTGTATAAGAACGTTGAAGAAGAAACTTGGGGCATTCAGTATTCACTGGATTGCCCGCCTCATTCTATTCTGTGTCTCTGTCTTTTCTTAGCATCTTTACCTGCCCATTCTCAATCCACACTCCCCTCTCAGGTATGAACCTGGCAAGTCGGCTGGATCTGACTGAAGCCCCACAAAGACAGGCTACAACAATGGTTGTTCTTTAACTACTGAGATACCTCCTCAGACCCCCAAATAATAGGTTTCTTAAACTTAAAAAAAAATCAGACAAGGATTTCATTTCCAGATATGCAAGTTAAGAACTATGTTTATTACTTATTTACGTTATGAATTCCAATTACTTAATCTCTGAGATTCAGTTTCCTTATATGTAAAAAACGACAAGCTTTCATAGCATCTGCATGCACGTGTACAAGCTGATCGTGTGAAGATGAAAAGAAATGTAAAAGACCTCATGCTTTCAGGTTTGTATCACCACACACCGCTCACAGCCGGAGACCACATTCCAAGTTCTAGCAGAAAAGAACCATATCTTCAAATGTCACCCATGTCACTGCCACACCATTCAGTGCTTGCTTGCAAAATACCAAACGCATTAGTCAGACGCCAAGGGAGGTCAGCTTCCCATTGCAGGCACCCAGCCCAGGCCAGTGAGTGTTCCAAAAGGCCCCTGACAAAAATCTGTCCAGGAAGGAACATAGGTTGTCAACACTTACAACTCTGCAGACCATCATGTGATTGACTTAAAGCCCAGGCAAGGTCAGGAAACACCTTTAGTATTGACATCCGAAGACAAACACACCCACCTTTACTTACCCGGAAGTAGTCACTGCAGGCCGCAAGGACGGCCTTGTGAGCATGGAATTTCTGTTCCTCAGCAATCAGGGTCACATCACAGAGAATGCCATCACTTCTTTGCTGGTTCAGTGCTGCGAGGACAGTGTCGTTGTGGGATTCTGAGTGGCACAGCCTCTGGCCCGTCAGCATTTCTTGAATACTAAAACGGAGAGCAAGGAAGCCCTGTTTACTCCTTTCACCAGCCCTGCTTTCCAGGTTCTCTCTGACCCTTTCAACCTTGGGGAGGGCACTTGGGACTCCAGTGCACAGTGAGTTTGACCTTTCTGTTCTCAGCTCTACCCTCTAAGCGTGGTCTGTTTGCTTGCCTTTCGTCTGACTCTTCTTTGCCCTGTCTTTGAGACTCTTTCTCTTGTCAGCTCACCTGTTTCTGAGGCTTAAATTTGTGAATGTCTACATGAGTCTGTGGACCTATGAGGCTGCTTCTAAGCCCCTATTTCTTTACTGTGCGGGTACATGCAAAACCTTGCCAGATGTACATGTGCAGGTGAGTATTCCCCGTGTGTGTGTGTGTGTGTGTGTGTGTGTGTGTGTGTGTAGACAGGGAGACTCTTACTACTTTGTAAGCTCCCTCTCTAACTCCAGCCTTCCTCAGCTTCAAATTTACCATGTGTCTCCCTAGGATACAAAACCCTGAATAAATAAATATAAGGAAACGGAGCAAATGTTGGTTGGGAGCAAAAGAGCTGCAAATGACCTCCCCTAATCCAAAGCAGTTAAACCACAGATGCCCAGGAAACTTAGGAAACTATACACCACCCAAAGAATGCTGAAAAAAATCAATTTGCAATAAATGGTAGTATAAACCTATAATTCCAGCACTCAGGACCCTCTGAGGCAGGAGGATTTGAAGATCAAGGCCATCTTTGGCTATAGAGTAAGTTAGAGACCAACTGAGCTACATGAGAGTTATCTCATGAAAAAAAAAGTATCCTTTGTAAATGAAAAAGAAAATTAAAAGTTAAAAGCTTAGATTGCCAAAAAGTTCTCCATATTACTTTAAAATCTCAGGAACAGGTACTGGGCTCTGACTAGCGAGCTATGTCACTATTAAGTTACTCCCAGGGGATGAGAAGAGTGTCAAGCCCTGTTTCTAAACAGTGAACTCCTTTGAAAGCTGAGTAAAAAGACCCAAGGACAGCTGAACATGATTTCTCCATACCTGACAATTCCCTGACCAGTTCTAGCATGAAAAGTTGTTATTCAGAGGCAACAACATTGCTGGCAGCCTTACCTACACTGTTGGCTTATTTGGTAGGACACGACCATGCCTGTGACAACTGACTGGTAAACTATAGTTGAATGAAAATCTCTACCTTAACATTAACCAACTTTTTCCTGTGAAGAGACAGTGTAGTCAGCAAGGTTTAGCCAATATTTCCCACTGGAAAGCATCAGAAATGGAAGAACTATGGAAAGAAAATTACTTGACAGGAAGTGAAGCTATAGCAAGCTCCTGTAGGAAGAAGGTGGGGAGGATTATTTTCAGTAGACAGTGGCAGTGGTGGCCGAGTCTGAAATCCTCAGGGCTGTTGAATATTCATGTGTGGCTCCAGAGATAGGCAGGCTTTTAAAAGTCACATTCGGAAACACAAACAGATCTTTATGGAAATCTCTATGTAAAGCCTAGGATGGAGATTAACTAGCATCATTAAGTAAAAGAATGGGGAAAAGAAACAGAAATGCGGTATCAGCAAAGCAGAACATGATGGTAGCCTGAAGTATCTTTCCTAAAACGATGACCTTTTTCCAGTTAGCAAACCTGTATTGCTTACAGGGTTCAGCCAATTATCCGGCATGATTCATAATTATTAATTATAATTAACAATTTACTCTTCCTAGTAACCCGAGGAGAAGGTACTATTGGTACAATGGTTTTGTGGATAAGAATACCACAATTCCAAGATTGTGGATTTTAAAAACCTAACCTTAAGAACACAATGATTTTTCCTGATTTTTTTTAAAAGATAATCGGTGCTGGAAAGATGGCGCCGCTGTTAAAGGTAGGGTCACAACCAAAAGCAAAAGGTACTCTATAAGAAAGATCCCCAAAAATTATGCCCAAGGTGACAAAAATTTCAAAAATCCCCTACTAATTTTATGTCATACATAATTAATCTGAAAATCAACCTTTAGAGTAATATGTGAAAACCCAATGGCATACTATGTAATCATGCTTCAAGACCATTTTCCTATGTACCAACAGAAAATGGATTCTTAGTGTTATAACTTTACAAACTGCATTTAAAACTTTCATAACTTCCTTTCTCCTCTTTCATGTTGCCATAAATGTATTTTGAAATTGCATTTGTAGTGGAATAAGAACATACTAAAATAACCACCTTAAAGCATTTCCTTACTTGCAAATCTGGCACATGTCATTCATTATTAAGCCTGAATCAGTATTTGTACTTAGATATCTGTTGAATGTGAATAATTCTTGGCAGCGGAAGAGCAACTGTGAATTGCAATTGGCAGAGACTGGAGGGCTGAGCTTTAAAACAATAGTGATGACTCCTTGGCTGCACAGACTCAATAGCTCAGCTTGAAACAGTCAGGCTTTAGAAACACCATAAGCTGATATTTAAGACAACACTTGGCAGAAGACCCCAAATATTTAGAACCAATATGCTATGAGTTCTTAAAACCCAGAAATAAACACTTTGAGATTTGGCAAGAAACAAAGTCCCACTAATCAACAAGTACCAACAAGTCGGCATTGTATTCTCAGAGTAGCTAGCTTCCCACTCTTCTGATACAAAGCTGTGGAAGACCTTGCCTCTGTGAACATGATGTCACAGCTGCCCACAGCACAGAGGGATCAGGCTCACTTCACCTGGCTGATAATCAGACATTGGGAGCAGCATGAATCACAGACCACAGTGTACCACACTGAATCTAAGGTGGGATGCAGATGGAGACCTGCCACTAGCTCCCTCTGCCCTCAGAACAAATGTCAAATCAGCAACCTCACCCTCCAGGTCAGAGCAATGTCCTTCACTACTGGGAAACAAAGAAACAAGAAAAAAAAACTGTTTGAAAAACTTTCCAAAGTACTGGGAAAATATTTGATTAAGGATCTACATTTCTCAAGGGGAATGCAGATTTAAGAATCTTCTTAAAATTGGAGAGATTCTCCCATGAAAGAAATAGTACCCCCTCAAATTCACAGCTAGCACAAAGTACCCTTTTCTCTGGGGGTGGGGAGCAAGAGTTGGATTGCCAAAACAGTGGCCATTGAGTGGCTGCTGAGCACTCTATACAGGTTAGTATAAGTTGAGATTTACTGTTAGTGTAAAACAATATTAGATATCAAAACTGATATGAAACGGGAACCCAAAATATCTCATTACTACTTGTATATTGAGCACGTGTTTAAATTATGACTTATGACACAGTGATTTATGTGAAATCCATAACTAACATTAACCAGAGCTGTTTCTTTGTTCCTCATTCTAAGATATATCTATTTCAAAGTACATACACTTCCTACTGTGATTCCCTTTCCAAGCCCACAGTTCACAGGAGCCCTATAAGAGTGCCAGGTGCCTCCCATCAGGCTACCAGGGTGGACACTATTCCTGCATCTCACAGGGCTGACCCAGGTGCCTGGCATGACAGCAGGAAACACAGACTCTCTCAGGAGCAGACTGGTCTCTAGTAATACCAGGGAGTGAGTGAGCGCTAGACTGGTCACGTGCCAGCATCTAACCATGGGGAGATTCACGCATGAGGTCTCAGGGATGAGTATGCCTTATGACTCAGAGCCTGCAACTTTCATTCTGGAGCTGATCACAGAAACCAATAAATTAAATGCAGAACATGCTTCCAAGCTGTTCATCTGAACCTCCACTTTACTGCAAATGGTTACTGGGTGCATACTGTTAATGCTCAAATCACAGAAAACCCCGGGGGCTTATTTTCATATATTCCCTTAACTGAATTCAGGCAGATTTTTTAAGATGTAATAAAACAACTCTACAGCTACACATTTTGCCTTTCAAATTTAAAAGTTCTCTGGAGTTCTATTTTAATGATTTTCTAGTACTTAACAAGGTCAAAATATCTTTACAAATTAATAGGAAAAGAATGCTATTTACTTATGTGGACAGGCTGCACAAAGATCCCATAATGGATTTTTTTCTTAGTTTTATATAATACTTTATGAATTTTCAAAAGTGGATGCTAGAAATAAAAATAGCCATAAAATAATAAGCAAAGGTTAAATCTTATCAAACAATTAGGAAATATTAAGACTATGAAGAAAGGAGCTTAATCATAAATGAATAGCTCTCTATACCCCTTATCTCATTCATATCTACAACAAATATTTATTCAGCATTATCATTCTAAATACTAGAAATAAAATACCAAATAAATGAAATGTAGTAGCAGCCACCACAGAATATTCAGTCTATCAAGACAGTGACACAGTGATTCCCAACTTTCTAATGCTTGACCCTTAAAAACAGTTCCTCATATTGTGGTGACCTCCAACCATAAAATTATTTTTGTTGCTACTTCATAACTGCAATTTTGCTACTGTTATTGATTGCAATGTAAATATCTGTGTTTCCCCATGGTCTTAGTGGCCCCTGTGAAAAAGTCATTCCACCCCCAAAAGGGTCTCTACCACTGCACTAAGTGATCTCACCCTCCAAAAGGAGAAATATCCAAGATGCAAACTGAAGGTGGATGAGCTCCCACACAGATACAAAGAAAGTGTCTGTGGGAAAAGAGAAGCACCAATTTTGGCCTGTGTCAGCAGGGAGCACGGCCCTGGCATATAACAATTGTTGAGAGCTACCTGAGCCCTGGACTGAAACACCAAGATAGTTTCAGAGAGGTGAACAAATCTGAAAGCTATTCAGGGAAGAGAGAGAGTTGGAAGCTTTGGTGACAGTTAGATATAGATATGGAAACAGTTTCTCAAGAACATGTTCATATTACTGGTTTATAAAACTTGATATCCCAATAGTAGGGTACCTGGGAAAGAAGAAAATGATGAACTCTGAAGCCTTAATCTAATTAATCTTATCAAGAAAAAGCATGGGGAATGTTAAGTTTGAGTGGTCTTAAAGGCTTCCAAAGGGAGATGTCAAAAACACAGCTTGATTCATAGCTTTGGAGCTCAGACAGCGG